ATGCGCACATTTTCTGTCCGATAAAATACTTCTATTTTGTACTGCTTTCAATAAGGTTTTTCACACATTGAAGCAACTGATTTGGTACAAGAAATCCTGAGACAAGACTGAGTGGATTGACCGAGCAGGGCTGATTTTTTGCACCTACTTTACTTCAGAGATACTGGTAACATGGAGCCGATTGAGTATTAAGATAATGACATTTCAGAATTTTCCTCAAAACTATTGAAAGCAAGTATTGTATGATAGTAAACGAAAAGAATATTACTATATCACCTTGAATTTGATGCTTGATATATAAACAAATTGCTTTATGCATATAAAATGTGCCTAGAAGAATTGCGGTAATACTTATGTGGTCATTTCTTATAAAAGATTTAGAACTAAATGTCAGTTCTGTAGCAGTATACAACTGGTCTAGTGCCCAGCGAGTATAATGTGTATGCTCAAGAATTGAATAAAGAGAATATTCCAGAAATGCATTCATTTGTGTGATTTTCTGAGGATCAGTATTAAATTTGGGATGGTATATAGACTAAAACATTTTCGTCTGACCAAAATTGACCTTATTTTGGCACCAGATTTTTACCATGAGGGCTTTCGAAACATAAATCGGGAAGTTTTTGATCTTTACATAGTATTCACCGTAGTCTACCTCGCTTGTTTGGTCTAATATATCAGCTTTGATGATGATATCCAAAAATTACAAGGTCAATTTTTACTGAAAATGCCACAAAAATTTCAGCCTCCGGAAAAAAACAACAGAACTATCACTGCAACTTCTATCATTGATTGTAAGTAAACTTTTATTGTTAATTATTGCCGATAGTATTCTGTCAATGTATCAGACAAAATGCTGTATCACGTTAACCTAAAATAAGATTAAGGTATTAATGACTTTACCATTTACATTCAACCACTAATAATTTTTCGCTGTCTAAGCCTTTAAGTTATTGAAAGTGAGCACGAAGTTACTTACAAAGCTAAAATATTCCTTTGAGCTCAGTCAATGGTAGTTTCAAAATTAGCATTATTACTGAGCCACTAAATTTTGGGGTCTATCCTTTAATTACACCAGTAGATCATGACATGTTGCTAGTTAACATTGATACGATCAGTAAGCTAGCAGCTACCAAATGACACGGCATCTACCGTACCCTGTTCACCGCTACCAGTTCACAGCTAATCGGTCTGTTGCTGGGGAACTGGTTCGACAGTCGTGGTATATAATGGTGTTCAGCAGTTGTTGGATCAGACACAGCAATGTCCGACGAGAAGTCCAAGCTTGCCGAGGCAGAGGGCCTTAAGAGGCTTGCCTTCTTTGGCATTGCTATCTCCACTGTTGCCACCCTCACTGCCATTGTTGCTGTTCCTATGCTCTACAACTACATGCAGCATGTGCAGTCTTCTCTTCAGAATGAGGCAATTTGTTTTAACCAAACTCATTTATCCAATTTTGTTACTTATATACAATGTGCGTTTTTGTAGGTGGATTTTTGTCGTCATCGTACTGATGGCCTTTGGGATGAGTTCCACAGGGTACTTATTGCATTTTAATCTTCCACTTTATTTACATATATGTGTAATTATGGAATTTTGTTTAGTTTGAATCGATGAAAGGAGTAGACAGTCGTATCAAGAGACACACTTGGCAACAACACTTCCGCGTTCCAGCCCGTGCTCACGCATCTGGCACCTACTCAGAGGGAGGCTCTGGAGGCGGTGGCGGCGGATACGGTGGAGGTAACAACTCATTCTCTCGGAATAAAACAGAAATTTGATTGAAATATTTACAGGCGGCTCTTGCTGTTCATGCGGAGTTGGAGCTGCTGGACCCCCAGGAGCACCTGGAGCCGATGGACATCCTGGAAGAGACGGAAGCCCTGGAAGTCCAGGACAGCCTGGATCCGATGCAGCTGCTGGAGCAGCACCTCAGGCTCACGATTTCTGCTTCGACTGCCCACCAGGACCAGCTGGACCTGCTGGAAATCCTGGTCCACCAGGACCACCTGGAGCACCTGGAGCACCTGGACACAGCCCACAAGGAGGAGGAGTTGGACCAGCTGGACCACCCGGACCCCCTGGATCACCTGGAAGCGATGGAACTCCTGGAGCCCCAGGAAACCCAGGAGCACCAGGACAAACCATCGACGTTCCCGGCTCCCCTGGACCTGCTGGTAATTT